GAAACTGAAACAAACCAGTGGATGCAGAATATGAACTTGCTCAGACCCTTCAGGAATGAAGGTATGGGTTATCCCTCCAGGTAGAGAAACCAGACTTGCTGGAATGCTTCCTGGAGCACATATATTTTCTTCTGTTGCTATTGTTGTTGTCGTGCTCCTTCACAGTAAGACATAACAATGATTACCTTACTATGTGCAGGTAAATATTATTAAATCTACATTATAAGTTAAGTAATGTTATGATAAGTGTAAGAATTTACCAAAGGAAGCTTTCCCACCTAATAGGGGGAAGGAGTTAGTGTGCTCCTAGTTCCATGCAGAGTAGTTCTATTATGTTAGTTGTAATTATGCTATTTTCTGTACTTGGAACTTATGCATGGTTTAAGGAGATTTGTCTGGTTTTAAATTTGACATTGAATGAGCTATAAATATTAATTCTGATATGTTAACCTGCCTGGATTAAGGCATGTTTAGCAGATTAGCAAAGCCCATTTCCAGATCTGCCTGTGGCATTATTCAGATATGATTGGTATGTAATCAACCAACCTGACTGAGGAGGACCTAAGGTGACTGTGGGTGGCACCCACCAATGGGATTGGAGGTCAGGAGGAATAAAAGCAGGTCTGAAGCTGTGTTTTGAAGCTCCAGTTTCCTTAACTATCCAACTCAGTCTCAACCAATGACCTGAAGCTTCTAGGCTTTTGATATTGGAGAGCTACTGCTTTTTTAATCCCTCTTATTCTGTGAATTATAAGTTCTTGTCAGAGCAGCTACTGGATTTTCTGTATCTCCAGCACACAGACAACCACTGTGGACTCTCCTGACTCTACACTTGTAAGTCTAACTAATATATCACCTTGCATAATTTATGTGTGTGTTGAATGTATATTCTATTGATTCTGCTTTTCTATAGAAACATCTATCAATATAGTTATAATTACAATGTTGCTCAATTATATTGATTGATTCCCAGATATAAACTTGAAAATTTTAATATGATCATTCTTACTTTCACCTTTGTCCACAGGTGTGTTTTTCCTAGTTTTATTAAAAGCTGAAATTCTATTAACTTCATTACAATCAGGATGAGCAAAATTCTGTGATTTGCCTATCCTCAGAAG